GGGGCTGTGTGACAGGACAGGAGTGATCCAGGAGTACAGAAATTCAAGCTTCAGAGACACAAGACTGCTGCTATCCAAATTTGTCATATACCTGAGAGACTTTTAAGAAGCCTGTCAGCGTTTTGCAGGCTGCTCCATATTCATTTATTTAACTGAAGTCTTTCTTCACGAATTGCGTTGGTTGCCTGCATTTTTGTTTCCCCTCTTACTGTATGATCTGGCTCTGGGTCAACTTTGGTTCCCACACTGCTCTTAGGTACTTGAGGACAGGCAACAGGGCCAAATTGCTCTTAGGGGCATCACCAAAGCCCAGTAAGGGCACAGGCTGGTGCAGTTGGCTTGTGCACTCACAACGTTATACAGTTTGCCAGCTCAGAATGTAATTCTCACCAAGACAGACTGATGGGGATTCCTGTCACCTCCTGTTGCGTGTCAGGTGTGACTGACTTCCTAAGATCTCTCAGAAATTTTTACCAAACATAATTTCTCTTTAGGGGCTTAGGACACTGCTGATACCCTTGATGTCTCCTCCTCTTTTCCCCTGGCAGGCTGGAATTTTTATGGGGTTTGGTGCCTTATATAGAAGGGGTTAAAGTGTTAATGAGTGTTGGGGTTTTCCACATGGCTTGAGGAGGTCTGAGGTTCTTGTAGCTTCTCCTACCCTTAACACCTACTGTGTGGCTTCCTGCAAGAGTGGAAGGCGTGGGCTGAGTAATCTATGTTGCTTCTCCCAATCCAACATGGTATGCTCTCTTTAAATAGCAAAATATGGTACAAAATACGCAGAAGATTTTAAAGAGAAACCAGGCCACTGGCCTTTATGCAGAAACACATCCTCTTGGGTTCTTCTGCCCCATCTGCGCCAGAAGTGGAGGAAACTAATTTGTGACTTATGAACCTCTCTGTCCCTTTGGGGTGAGTTGGGCCTAAAGGAAGATGGAAGTCTCACTAACAACTCCAGTCTTTTGACAGATCCTTGCGTGGTTTGTACAAGCAGAGAAAAGGAGTCCTTATTTTCTCCACTGTTCCTTGCACTGTTGCACAAAGGCAAATATATTATACAAGAGCTAAACAGGAATTACACAACTGAGCTCCATAAATCTAAACCAGAAACAGAGTCTCTATCCTGCACTGGACAAACATAAAAATGTGGAAGGCTGAAATTCTAAATTCTGGTCCTAATGAAGTTAATGGCAAAGCTCTTGCTTACTCTGGTGAGATCACAGTTTAATCCAAAATCTTGGCTCAAGTCTGTAGTTGGCTGACAAGGCTGGATATTTAAAGCATATCCCTGTTAAATTTTTCTAAGTACTGGGATAAGATGACCTTCGGGTTTTGGTTTGTTTTTTTTTTTTTTTAAGCTTTTTGCTTATGATAAAGAAATGCAGAAAAGTATTTTAAGACCAAGTACTGAGCAACCACTTGCAAACCTGAACTGGAAGCCTATAAAGGACCTGATATACTATCTCTGAGTGCAAGAACAAATATTAGCAAAGTAGTTGTTCCCATGCTTCAGCATCAATAAGCCACTGAAAGCTGCTGCTGAGTCACACTACTTGGGTATCAGAGGGAAAGATGGGAAACCCTGACCTGTGGGGGTTGGGAGTCCAAACAACAAAAACCAGCCATCAACAAAACAAGTAAAAGTCCCTAATGAACCTGAGACCTAAGCTCTGCAAGTAAATAAATTTGTGAAATGATCCACTGTGCTACAAGGACTGCAGTGCAGCAGAGTGTCGTTGGAGTGTTTGGCACACAGACCAAACTAATTACTTGACAGTTGTTTTAGTTTGGCCTGGGGTGGACAGCAGTGCTGGGTAAGAAAAGCCACTGCAGTTTCTTCATCTCCCTGGGCTCATCTGGTCCTACTATTGAAAACTACTGCTGTTACACTGAATGCTAGCATGTACACCAGAGCTCCCCCCACCCACAAGATTCCTGCCCGATGAAAAAGAAAGGAAAAAAGAACAGAGGAGAAAAAGGAAAGCTTGTGCAATCAGGGCCACGCATCACATATACTTCCAGCCCAGGGGTTATTTCTCTCCCCCTCTTCCCCGAAGCATCTCTTAACAACCGAGCTGATTCAATGCAGAATGTCATTAACAATCTAACAGTGAACAAGGACTGGGGATCATCCTTATCTTACAGAAGCAAGCTATAAATAATCATCTTGGGCAAATCTAACATCCTGACAGGATGGCAGGATCCCGAAAACACTGATTCCAGTGTATTAATAAACACAAATGCTGAACCATTTCTTGCAGAGCTTTTTGGAGCTGTGTAAACCCTTCCAACAAACATCAGATAAAGCTGTCAAGGTTGGGGAAGAATTGCTTTTATGTGTGTGATTAAGCCTGAGCAGTTAAAAAGACTTAGCCTGCTATAAACAATTAGGTATGGTAGGTCAGTGCCATACCAGTGTCATCACTGACAGTTTCATTACTTAGGCCTGCCATGGATATAATTCTCCAGACAACTGTCTGGAAAGTCATCATAGCTTTGACTGTTTCATGACCAGCTTCTGACCAGCCCACATATGGCCCAAGCAGGGCAGGCCAAAACCTCACAGGCTCAACTGTAACCTCCAACTTTTATCACTGTGAAATATGGTGGTATGGCAGTGGCTCTGCCCCTCCTCTGCACCAGCTACAAGCCAGCTGCAACATGAGGGGCCAGAGAAGTGGTCCTTCTTGTTTTTCTCACTGTGCAGAACAAGCAACTACCCAACTTTAAGTTTCACACCCATCCATCATATTGCAAGCTTACACCATCAATTTGGATGGAGCCATGCTACTTTACATCTTCATTCATCCCCTCTGACACTTGTCTACCTCCTTCTCCCTTCGTTCACACTTGTGTCTTACAAGCACCTCTCTACACTTATATTTCCCGCCTTATTCATTCCCTCTCTCACATCCATGATTGCACCCTTTTCACACTACTCCCTCTTTCTTCTTCTCTGTTACACCCTGGACCCCCAAGATCCTCCCTTAGCCTCAAAAAAGGTGATGAAAAGGGAGAAAAGAAGGAAAGAAGAGAATGATTCTGTGCAAGAGGCAATGAGAAAAGCAGTGTACCGCTTGAATGAGGTTCTTTGAGAGGTACCCAAGGACTATCCAGGTTACCCAAAATTTCCTTTGGTGAACCCCTGCTTTCTCCAGGTCATGGGTCCTGTTCTAAATTTGTGCTTCATTGGGTAGATGCTTTGCTTGAGTGCTCATGTGTAAGACTCAGGGATTAAACCCAGGGGTATGTGAGCAGGTAAGAAGATGACGCCAGAGTCAGTACACTATCGCATGCCTGTGCCAGGTCTCAGTCATCCCCAGGAAGCCCATATGATTACTTAGCTTCCATCCCTTTTTGCAGGTATTTTTCTGCAGCAAGGAGTTACTATTTTTTTCCCAAAATAAGCGGAGCATTTATTGTTCAAAAATGCTGCCTCTGACTGTCAAGGCCTTTGCAAACACCTACTGTTAAGCATGGACATTCACTGTTAAGTGTAGTGATGAACATGGTAAATAAATCCAGTCTCACTGCAGTACAGAACAGAGACACGCCTCCAGTCCCAAGTATTGCTCATACTTCAGATACAAAATCAAGAAACCTGGTGCTTTGGTGCTCACTGGTGTCCTCACAAACACAAATAGAGGCAGTAATTACCATTCTATCTGTTTTTCCAAGTTCTGAAGTGCACTCATGCTTGTTTTACATCAACCAAATAGCCTGAAGTGCCAAGTTGCCAAAATAACAAAATATAGGAGGAATGTGGCTTGTATGTTTACTAAGTACAGGTTTGCCTTTTGAAAGAAAAGACAAAGAACAGGGGAGACTGTTACTTCTCAGCTGTTAAGTGAAATAACAGTAATTCTTGTGTGTAGCTTCCTCTGCGCTGTCCAGCCGCAGCTGGACGTAGAGACAATCTCTTTCCAGGCATCCCACAAACACTGACACTTAGGGTGACACTCTCATTAAGGACACAGCAGCCCACATTGGGTGGCTAAGGAAGAGGCCTTCATTTTATCTATAAGGAATTCACTGGCAACAAATCATGTAAGAGGCAGATACAGAAAATGTTCTTAAAGATGCTGAGTGGCTTATCCTACAGGATAAACTCTAGGGTTTATAAACTGCTTGGCCACAGATTGCCTTCCCCAAGCCACAAACACCTGATGGCTTCAGTTCCAGTCATGAAATTACAAATACAGTAGCAAACAGCAAATGCTGTCAACTGCATGACTTGCCACATAGTACAAAGACAACATCAACAACAGTAATTAATGTACGCAGTCCTGTTTATCCTAGTGATCCTAGAAGCCTTTTCCTTTTATGGCCACCAACCTCAGAGAAAATAGCCTGGGTCAGAATGAACAAGCACAATGGGCTACACTTACCCACCACAGAAGAGCTCTTCAACCATAAGCAGTAGGACTAAAGACATGCCTTAAGGCAGGAAAAACTTACTGACAGCCTTTCAAGTGCTGAGTATAGAAAAATTTCTCACCTAGTCTCTTCCTGAGTAAAATAACTGGTCCAGTGCTGCTGATCAGTACTTACACCTCCTCTAATAAACTGAAACATTGTACAATACCTGAGAGTTACAATTTCCATTTGTCTTAGCAATATATAAGAACACATTTTAGTAACTTCAAAGTGTTGGGCCAAATTTGATTACCCACTCTTCCCTTTTATCTGCTGCTGCTTCTTCTTCACTAAAGCCAAGCAAACATGCAAAATTTCTGCCCCGAGAAAAAGACCTTTCTATGATTTACTATTAGAATATAAAGCCAGCATTTATAAACAACAGGACATTCCAGTCTTACTCTGATCAACTCTCTTCAAATTTAACAAAACTATGTAACTCAAAACCGGGTTCTTCATATGCCTGCCTCTAAATTACCTGACAGACAGAGGGTCGACTGTAAAAGCAGCATCAGTCACATCAATGTGGTAAGATGACTGAACAAGACCTCAGTTATTACCAACTACAGCAGTTCACTTACCCTATAGTAGTCTGTGCTGTACACATCTCTAGACATGCCAAAATCCCCAATCTTCACCAGCAGGTTCTCACCAACCAGACAATTCCGGGTAGCAAGATCCCGATGCACGAAGTGCTGTGACGCCAGGTAAACCATACCAGCTGCAATCTGCTGGGCAATGTGAAGCATCTGGGATTGGGTCAGCTCAGCAGGACGGTTGCCTTCTGCCATCAGTACTGCATCTGGTCCATGTGCCCTGCACCAAAATACAAGCTGATTAAGTGATAGACCACTTGTAAGCTGGAAAAGTGAAAGGCATTAGTGAGCCTAAAACCACACAACTGACTTGCTCAAATATAATAACAAAAAGGGCTACAAATTCTTTGGTGAAATAGGGGAAAAAACTGTATCTTGGCTTTTTTCATTCACTGTTTTCTTCCATTGTGTGAAAGACAGGTGGTGTGAAGAGCACTACACAACAGGTGATATATTCCTTATGGAAATAAGGTACATACATTCATAATAATACCCCTCTGTCCAAAACCACCACCTTTCTCCTGTTCCATTCTAGTAATCTTTTCTGGAGAAAGGCTGGCAAACATAGCTGTTTGGTAACTGAGGAAAACCTTATCACTCTATAAGAGTGAAAGGCAGTAGAGTGAAAGGCAATGAAGTGGCATGCACAGCATCACTTTTCCTATGACCAGTATTCCTTGATTTCTATAGCAAGCCCGGCCATTGACCCTTCCAGCTTTTCTTAAAGAAGAGCTAACTTCCTTCTGAGACGCCATCTGAGAAACAAGGGCAGCAATTTTAGATTTACACTTCTAATTTCCTATCCAAATGCACAGCAGGAAACCATTTTTGCTTATTTCATCACCAAGGGTGAGGCCTGGCTGAGATGGGAATTCTTGACTATAGGAAGAGGACACAAAACACACGCTGTTTGGAACAACTTAACAACTTCAGAAATACGAGCTTTTCAAGCCCTAGCAAGTCCCTAAGATGCAATAATCAACTGATTAATGAGAAACTTCTATACACTGTAGCAGACAGAGAGCTGTTTTGCATTTGGAAAGCCCAGCGAAGTACTGGAACACATGTGCTTCACCCATCTTGTTAGCTCTGGTACATATGTGTAACATCCTACTATCTTTAAGATACAGATATAAACATTCCTACACACAACACTTTAGAGTAAGCATTACTAGCTAACCCCTGTCCAGTTAATGAGGTCATCTGGTAATCATTCCTCATTTGATACACCTTATAATATTCTGAATATCCCTTTCCATCCAGTCCATTATTCTGCGTATTCAGAAGCCTTTTTTATTCCATTCCTGCAGACTATTCTATCTAAGAGACCACCTCTCCTCTTCCCTCCTCAACTTTTTTTTTTTTTTTTAAATACTCTAGAACTGATTTTTAGTTTCTCTCAAAACTCCTTCCTTCGTACAAAGAGGAATTTCAGCGAATCACCTTTCTAATCGATAGAGGTGAGGCCTTAATTCGTCCCTAGGGGAAGGGCACAGGAGTTTGGAAAAGAGTTGCAAATTAATCAAAATCTGTGAGATCAAATCTGACACTACCTATTAGAAACATGATATTAAAATTGCCCCAAGGGAAGAACTTCATGAGCAAAGTGACAGATGTGAGAATGAAAGGAAGGAGGGTGTGTAGCATTGCTGGGACTGCATCTAGTACCAGGCAAAGAAGCTCTCTGCCACAGGGCACACGCAGACAGCCATTCAACTGGTCTGCGCTGTGGGGAATAAGCATAAGGATAAGAAATCTCCAACCAAGACCCACAGGCAAATTCCTATTGAAAAGCACTGGTCCTTTTCATTGCATAGATTTTTGTAATGACTGGTCTCAGACATGAAGCTCTGAGCTGCTAAATTAAAGAACTCTTCACCTTTTGCTAGGTTCCTTGAGGACATGGTCTGTATCTAATGAAACTTTTGGATTACTCGTAACACTCCATCCACCTTCCTTGTCCTCTTGGCGCTGGCTGTAAATGAGGTGCTCCTCAGGAACATTGACAGAGATTTCTTTGGATCCACATCAGCCTCCACTAGCCAGAACAAGCACAGAGCAGTGATGAATTTGAGGCTTTAGTCCTAGATCTGAAATAGCATTTGGCTGCATGCAGACTTCAAGGCTCATTTGGGTTAAATTTTGGATTCATTTTTCCCCGACAGCCTTTGGTGGCGCTGCAGGGTAAGAAATACAGGCTCTTATAGCCCGCTTACAACTAACCTCTGATCTGCAGCACAAGCTGCAGCAAATGTGAGAGGAATGACAAATTGGAGCTTAGGTTTAACAGCTTGTCCCAGCATAATCATTTTATGTTCTAAAGACAAGGGCTGATTAATAATTGAAAAAAAGAGAAGACCTAAAGTAGAGAATATACTGTCTGCTAAACTACCTTTCTGTACAATAATTCAAAATCAGAGTTACGAGGTAAGAAAAGGCCAATCAAAAAGAATCAAAGAGTAAGTATTTCTTATGAAATAAGAAATTATTTCTTATCAGCTGTGAATCTGGCTTCTTCTAATGGAAATTCAAAGTTCTGAAAAAGTACTGGGATGACATCTTAGGAAACTGCAGTTCTCTCCTGGTCCACAGCAGAGGTCCAATCAGGCAAATGTAAATGCCCTGACATGGCTCTGACAATATACTTAAATCCTCTGCCAGAGACAATCAGTCTGGGAAAAGTAATAGCAGTTGCTCTGCATCCCCAGTTCAGGCCCTGGTCTCCCTGCCAAACCTGACAGCTCTGCCAATATGGGAGGCTGCTTGTTGATGTCATTTGCTTTTACGGTGTAGCTATTTGTTTAGCGGAGATTAGAAAGACAGCAAACTCATTTCACATAGGCTATCAAAAATGCATAAATGGCAACACTAGCAGTCACTAGCCACTTCAGTCAGATAGAAAATCTGAACCCATTTAAAGGGACATCAGTTTTGATTGTTTAACAGCTTGGTCACAGATGTCTTTCCAAAATGGTGGTACCCCTAGTTATCTTTGGCAGGAGAGATCTCAGTACATCGAAATGCCTTTGTGATATCCTTTGATGAAAATGACATAGAAGACCTTGAAAGAACATTCTGTTATGCAAATTTTTTTTTACATAGGAGCAAAAGCTGTCTCAACTGCTTATTTTTATATCGAGTGCAGGCTAGTGGAAATGGCACATACACAAGGCCACTGTTCGTAACTTCCTGGTTCATGAGTTACCTATTATTGTGAACCTTAGGTATTCTCTATTTATTTGTGACTGCTTTACTAACAAATTTCAATTTCTGATGCACATTCCTGAACAGCACTATGACATAAAGCCCTAATCCAGACCCCAAGATGTAGCATTTTCCATTGCACTGAGGTTTCCATGGATCACAGTTTTCTTGCTTCAGATAAATGGCAGTCTTTCCAAAACACCGAGAGGAGGGAAGAGAAAAGGGGTTAGATTTCAAAAGCTCTTAGACGCCTACAGATAGCTATAGGTGTTGAGTGGGATCTTCCCAAGTGCTACCAGAAAGCCTGCAAGAAAACGATTCCTACTGTAAGATTTATAACCAAACATTTCAGAATACATTGAAATATATTGGAAACAACATTTCTTTGGTTCCTACTCCTTTGGTGCAAAGCATAAGGCTTAACTTAATGGTACTTCCAAATACACGAAGAAATGATGAGTCCCATGTCCCCGTACAGAAGACCAGAGCTGCACAGACTTGCACTTCTAATTATCAGCATTTTCCAGTGGTAGTAATTAATTTGACATGAAGTACCAGTAACATCTACTTTCTCTGCCCACTTCAGGCTCAGCAGCAAAATATATGTTTGTGGATTTACCTGAGGAATTTGTTAAGATCTCCATGCTTCATATATTCAAAGACCATGATGAGCGGATCACCCTCGACGCAGACGCCATAGAACTTGACGATGTGCTCATGTTGCAGGTTAGTTAGCAGCTCTGCCTCGCGGTGGAAATCCTTGCGGGCATTGTCGCTGGCATCCTTCAGCGTCTGATGGAGAAAACGAAAACTTAAGGAAGGGGAGATGTTTGCAGAAGGTAGCGAACATGTGGGATGGCACTGTAAGGGTAAGATAAGGACACTCTACTGCATAAAGGGTGGAGGAAGTACTTTCTTAATAACTCTTTTAGAAATGCAGATGTGATGTTTAAGTGCAATTAAATAACAGCAGTACAATTTTTCATTCTCCTGCCACATGTCATCCCAAACAATGATTTTTCTTGTAAGAGGATGTAGGAATACTCATCTTACTGATCTTCCTGTGCCAAGTGTTTTCCAAACACAGAACAAATAAACTGATCTTATCAAAAAAATATATTAGTACACAGCTGGTTCATATCCTTTAGCATTTAACTCAGGCAAACCCTAGTATCCTGTTGGTATTTACCTTTCTCAGAAGTTCCTTAAAATAAAACTCTGCTCGCTTAAAATACTTAGTGGGAATGTAGATGCATCTTTGGTGTTAATAATGTCACTGTTGCTGATGTTGGCCCCTATGGTGTGCTATACATTAGGTAGATTTATACAAGGGTACATCCGTGGGCCAGAACTTACAACCTGAGACTTCAGCCAGAAACCCCTTTGAAATTCAATAAAGCTACTTGCATGCCTAAGATTAAGGATATGTATAAGTAATTGGAGGATCAATCCTAATTTGATAGACAGAGAGGAAGTAGATGCAGATCAGAATTCTGG